CCAGATTGAGGGTCCCGTCAAAGGGCATGGAAACAGGATAGGTCAAGGCCGCCGTCTCGCTGGGGGGGACATCATCAGTCTTTGCCTCCTTTCGCGATGCCTCGGCCACGTCGACGTGAGGACGTTTCCTTGGCCGACCCATGGGTTTCTGGGCCGAGTAGTTACAGTGAACGGCTTCGCGCTTACACCGCGCACAGCCATCTGGTTCTTTGGAGCAAGCAAGTTTCCGTGCCCCTGCATTTGTTAATTTAGATATATCAGTGCGGTTGGGCAGTCATGGTTGTTGACTAGAGGGTAGAGGTAGATAGATATATGGATCGAAACGGGGAGCGGGACGAAACATACGGCACTCGTCACAAGCACGGCGTTTCACCGGCTCTTTCTCCTTAGTGACCTTGCTGTTTGAGATCATGGCTGTTTTTCGCAACCGGCCTTTCCTTTAATTTTCCTTTTTTCTCCCCTTCTTTTGCGCGGGCGTAGATGTGTGGTGGGTAAAAAGGGTTGAGTGGTAAGGTAAACGTCCAAGGCTCTCCGCAAGCCCCGCTTAGAAGACACAGAAATCGCCCCGGTGGTACTTCAAGACACTATCTAGACGCTAGTGTGGTGTACACAGTAGATGGGCAAAGAGCATGGATATGTACGTTGTAACAAGGGACCTAGGATGATGGGATCGACTCGTTTTCAAAGGAGGGCAAAGAAAGCAGATTTCAGACAAGATGCTCCAGGCCCGCAATGCTAACGAGCCAACGCAAGCAATCAAAGATCACTTGGTCGCGCCAGACCTGATGCCACTATTAATAAGCCGCAATTGACACAGATAATGCAGAGACTGACTGTCTGTTGCCGCGTTGCCCCAAATGGCACTGGTAGTGTGTCAGTCATCTGCCGAACAACAACATCCAAGGCCTTTGGACGTATATGTGGCTCACTAGCCAAAGGCATGTCCTTTTGCTAGTAGTGGGATGACTATAGCCTGGTTTTATGGCAGTAGTGTAGTGTGAAGGTGTCGAGTAACCCTAGCCCATCAAGGTTCCCTAGTAGGCGTCGTGCTACATATTGTCAACTGCCATGCTTAGAAAGCGCAAAGAGACCGTGATGGTGACAAAAAACGTACACTAAAGAGGCAATGGGGTAAAATTCGAACAAAACTCTGTAATTTCAAGCGATCCATGGAGACTAAATCTGATCATGCCGGGTATTCAATTGATGCTGGTTTGCCGGTTTTGACTGCCAATACCCACAGAACGAACGGGCAGGACGAGCTACAGAAGTGGAATCGTGCGTGGTTGAAGCCAGGTGTAGGGGTGCAGAGGGATGCTGCATCGAGGTTGGAGTTCGGTATTCATCTCATCCGGGCATGATATAACAAATCAGAGACGGAGTGCATGCTCCTGGCTTCATGTGTCTCCATTCAAGTCTGCTCTTTGACACGCTAAGCCGATAGGGTAATATGTTTGGCTCTTTAGCTGCCAGGAATGCCAAGGGCGGTGAGACCAATTCGTCCCCGCCATGAGCTGTAGAACCGGCAGAAAAAAAAGTCCCAGGCCAATTCGTATGCTAGGAATTTTCGACGCCTATCGCTGCGACGCTATCTGGGTGTTTTACCAGCAAAAGACACGCCAAAAATCAACACATACTCACAATGGGGCCAAAAGCCGCTGAGAAGAAGCGAAAGGTCCAGGACGCCGAGCCGGAGTCCGACGACGAGATTGCACCCGATTTTGACGGCGCCCTGTCGCAGAGCGAAGACGAGTTCGATTCTGACTTCGACGACAATGAGCACGAACAGGACGGCGAGCAGGAAAGCGGAAGCGAGACCAGCGACGACGAAGATGAGGAGGGCTCCCTACTAAGCGACGACATTCCCTCCGATGCTGAGGGCGACAAGGCAATGGGCAAACTTGTTCTCGAGGACGAAGAAGAGGAACTTGAGATTGAGATACCCGGAGTCGACCCCAAGCGGCCGGAGAAGGATGATGGAGACAAGAACTATCGGATCGAAAAGGACGCGAACGGCAACGAGCGCTACGTCTACGAGTATGTTGTTGCTCTGCAAATGGACCAAATATCGTTCCATGCCAGCATGATTAACTCGAGAATGCAACAGTGAGATCGACCCCGTCTACGATTCGGACGATTCCGATGCCCAAGAAGCGCCAAACACCATCGGCAACATTCCCATGAGCTTCTACGACAGCTATCCCCATATCGGCTATGATATCAACGGCAAGAAGATTATGCGCCCGGCCACTGGCGACGCTCTTGATGCTCTCCTCGACAGCATCGAAGTGCCCAAGGGCTGGACTGGCCTTACGGATATTCACACCGGCAACCCTCTTAACCTCAAGTATGCACCCAACCCATCATCCTTTGTGTTGCTCGGTTTCTTCGGGTCACGCTTACTGACTGTCATCCCATAGTGATGATGAATTGGAGCTTGTTCGCCGTGTCCAGATGGGTATGATTCCCAACGAGCTGGAAAACCCCTACCCCGAAACCGTGGAATACTTTACTGGTATCGAGGAGAAAATGCGTAAGTCTAGATCTATTCACATTCATCATTGTTGGAACGGTGCAACTAAAGAGTCAATAGCCCTGAGCGCTGCCCCTGAGCCCAAGCGTCGCTTCCTCCCCTCCAAGAACGAGGCCAAGAAGATTATGAAGCTTGTTCGCGCCATTAGGGAAGGCAGGATCCTGCCCTACAAGCCCCCTGAGGAGCGCGAGAAGGAGGAGGAAGAGGAGGAGCAGTACTTTGATATCTGGCAGGATGAGGTGCCACAAGAAGTCAACCCCTTGCACATCCCGGCACCCAAGCTGCCTCCTCCTGGTTTCGACATGAGTTACAACCCGCCCGCAGAATACCTACCGACCAAGGAGGAGAGAGAGGAGTGGGAGAAGCTCGACCCCGAGGAGCGCGAGAAGGAGTATCTCCCTCAGAAATACGACTCTTTGCGGAAAGTTCCCGGTTATGGCGAGATCGTCAAGGAGAGATTCGAGAGGTGCATGGACCTTTACCTTGCTCCTCGTGTGCGGAAGAACAGGCTCAACATTGATCCCAACTCGCTCCTGCCCAAGCTTCCTTCGCCTTCTGAGCTCAAGCCTTTCCCTACCGTTGCCCAAACAGTTTTCCGCGGCCATGACGGCCGTGTAAGAAGCGTTGCCATCGACCCTACTGGTGTTGCTGTCGCTAGCGGTGGCGACGACGGTACGGTACGTGTGTGGGAGCTGTTGACGGGTCGCCAAGTCTGGTCCGTCAAGCTCAGCAGTGAGGAGGCTGTCAACACCGTTAGGTGGAGGCCCGCAAAGGACTCTTTCATTCTCTCCGCTGCTGTGGGTGAGGATGTCTACCTCATGATTCCTACACACGCCAGCGTTACTCCTGCTTTGGACCAGGCTAGCAGAGATATCCTGTCGGTTGGCTTCGGTTATGCTACAAACGGCCAGCAACACGGCGCTGCTCCCGGCAAGGAGCCTCCTGCCAAGTGGGCCCGCCCCGGTGCTAAGCTCGAGGATGAGGGTGTTTTGATCAGGATCACAGTCAGGTCGACCGTGAAGGTTATCAACTGGCACAGGAAAGGAGACCATTTCGCGACAGTATCGCCTTCCGGACAGAGGAGCTCCGTAGCCATCCACACGCTCTCCAAGCACCTCACCCAGATTCCCTTCCGCAAGCTTTCTGGCTTGGCTCAGACAGCGTCTTTCCATCCCCTCCGTCCTCTCTTCTTCGTCGCCACTCAACGAACAATTCGCTGCTACGACTTGCAGAAGCTCGAGCTGGTCAAGGTTGTCCAGCCTGGCGCGAAGTGGTACGTATCCCCATTGTCACCCGGATAATGTGACTGAAATTGATTTGCTAACTCTGTTGACTTTGTAGGATTTCTTCGTTTGATATCCACCCCGGCGGTGACAACTTGATTGTTGGCAGTTACGACAAGCGTCTCTTGTGGCACGATCTGGATCTTTCCATTCGTCCGTACAAGACGATGAGGTTTCACAGCGAGGCGGTTCGTCAGGTCAAGTACCACAGGGGCGGCCTGCCGCTCTTCGCTGATGCCAGTGACGACGGCACTCTCCAAATCTTCCACGGTAAGGTCCCGAACGACCAGCTGGAGAACCCCACCATTGTCCCTGTCAAGGTGCTCAAGGGACACAAGGTCGTCAACAAGCTTGGTGTTCTGGACATGGACTGGCACCCGCGTGAGCCGTGGTGTGTGTCTGCCGGTGCTGACGGCACCATCCGTCTCTGGATGTAAAAGAACAGCGTTTAATGGGACGAGGCAAAAGATGAACAAAACACACGGAGGGAAAACGGAAGCGAGGGGACAGGTTAATCAGTCTGCTTGCCTTGATTGGCGTGCTCGGATGTGCTATTATTATGATTAGAAAGATACACAGGCCAGTTGGAGTGTATACAAGTCGACTGCATGTATGTTCGGCGGAGTTCTCGGAATGCTAAGGAAATATACCACATTTTCGTCTTTACGCTACTTTGCCATTGGGCAGCAGGGGGTTGATCTAGGCCGATGAGGTCTCGCCATGGCTGCTAGGCAGGATTATTTGTCTGCCCTACAACCCCTGTCTATTCAATCTTGGTCTCATGTCCGAGATGATGCCTTTCTCAAACCGCAGAGAGTCGGGCAGGTGTGCTACACAAATGCCGAATCCTGCTTGCGTGGTTGTTCGCCGGAAAGGTCCGGGAAATGGATCAAACTCCACGCCCGAGCTGCCTTCATGTTTGTCTCTGCCGTTATCATGTAACCACACGTTCTTTCCCAAGTGTGTTTTTGTTGTTCTGCTTTCATTAATTGTTTCCTTATCCGCTTGAACTCGCGCCACGAAAACCTGCATATTCTCATTCATCGTGCATCAAAGTGTCGCAGAGGTAGGGGTTAGTGCCCGAGAGCTCATATCTCCCCACAAGTCAATCAGCCCTATAAAGACAAATCTTTCCACTTGTTTTCTCCTCCTTTTTCCCCTTTCTTCCCCCTTTCGATTTTAATTTTAAATTTTTTTTTTTTTATTTTTTTTATTTTTTTTTTTTTTTTCAATCTCTGAACTCTGGTCTAGATCACTCCTCGAGGTGCTTTGGACCATCCAAAAGGCACACAACATCGGCAGCGTTCAAACTCAACTTTTGACGATGACACTCCAACAAAAAGAAAGGAAAATTGAAACCACGGCAGGAAGAAGCCTGATATACATCAAGGACGCCCATTTCACACAAATGAACTCTATACGCTGGCCTAGACCGGATATTCCAGTCCAAGCGACCGGTGCAATGATGACGAAAGCATGAACAAATTCCGATCACCAATGAACCTCTCCAACTACTGCCTACCGACCCACCACTCGCCAACAACTCTACAAATACCTATCCACCCCATCAGCAAACCTCTCAAAAATCTCCAAATCCACCGCCTCTGCCATTACCCGATACCCCTCCGGATTCAAATGCAAATGATCCCCACTATCCCACCTCTTATCCAGCATCGTCTTATTTCCCCGATCCCTCACAGCCATATCAAAGTCCACTACCGCATCAAACCTCCCACTCCTCCGAATCCACTCATTGACCCTTAGTCTCGTCTTCTCCCTCTCCGGCTCACCATACGCCTGTCCCGGCCCGCTCATAGGCGTAATGGTTGCCCCGAACGCCGCGATCCCGTGGGAGTGTAGGCGAGTGATCATCTGCTCGTAGGCAGAGATCAGTCGGTCGCCGACGGATTGTTGGGCGACCTGATCGAGGGGTGCGGTACCGATGTCGTTTACCCCCTCAAAGATGAGCGCGTAGCGAACCCCGGAACCAGGGCGGGCGAGAACGTCGCGCTCGATGCGGCCGAGGGCGTTGGGACCGAGACCGTCGGCTAGGACGCGGTTCCCGCCGGCGGCTTGGTTAATGACGGAGATCGATGACAGCGAACGACCGGCTTTTTGAAGGCGAGCGAGAAGCTGGTCCGGCCAGCGGTTGTTGGCATTGGTGGTGGATCCGCGGCCGTCGGTGATGGAGTCGCCCACAAGGTAGAGGGCGGAGGCACGCTCGGGCTGGTAGGCCTCGATGGAGGAGAGAAAATACCAGTGGTCAGTGCTTGCTACTCCAGCGGTGGAGGACAAGTTGGCAGCAGAGACGAGGTTGCCCTGCGCAAGCCAGCTGGTTGTGCGGCTGCCGGGGTGTCCAGTGATGGACTGGCCGGCCTGGCCGGAGGCGAGGTAGAGCGTGATGGTCAGGACGGACTGGGCCTTGACTTGAAACTTGATGGGGTCCGAGACGACCACGGCGCCGTTGGGAACGAGAAAGTCTGGGTGGCCTCCTGAGAATGTGACGGTCTTGATGGTCCCGGGCTTGATAGCGCCGGAGCCGGCCCCTGCTCTAGATGCGGGCAGTGCGACGGTGACTGCGGTGATAGGCAGCTCAGAGCCGCCGAAGGCGTTGCTGAAGCTCAACCGGATGGTCGAGGCATCTTGAGTGATGTAGACTGTCTGGCGCAGGGTGGCGTTTTTGAAGACTGTGTCTCCGCCGTTCTGAGAGTTTGTGTTAGTGTACGGGTTGTCTGCTTCTTTACTGGTAAGCTAAAATACTGAATCCGGACACTACTTACATATGGAGCTGGAGGAAGGTTTTCAGACTCAACAAGCTGCGGCATGGAGCCCCAGATATCGATCCATTGGTTTGAGCTCTTCGCGGAAACCGAGGAAGATGGGCACAAGAGCAACACTCCAGTAATCAGGATATTCTTCAGGCCGAAGCCTGAGAACGATGAACCGAACATGGCGGCGAGGACGGATCTTGAACGGTGCTATTATTCCAGAAATCACAAAAGCACTGGCCTACGCTTTCCATATTGACTGTCATCCACTCAGGGCGATGGATAGGTTATATACCGATACTAATCTATGCAGGAACATGTCGATGTGTAACTATCTATGGTAGGTAACAGAGTCCATTCTGGGGACCTGGGATGGGCTACATATCCAAAGGTAGCACGGTGAGAAATTAGGCTAAATGGTACATCCGCAGTTCAACCATGGCTAGGCGATGGCTAGTGAGCCATATTGTCTCGTTGACTGGAAGGAAAACACAGAAAGATTTCGGAGCATGGACTTGGTTTTCTCCAAACGCTCTAGTGGAACGTGGAGAACGGCATTCAGAATTCTCCGGCAATCTCTATCCCCGCATCGGCTGCTGTATTTCCTGTTCCCTTGTTTCTTCAACCTTGCTGTACTTGGACCCCGCACGAACATGTTCCAAGATAGCGAAGTCGCTTTGCAATTATAGCGACGTCACGTTCGGTCAAGCGGTATCTATTTCTCCGTCGTCCCGGTAATCGACCTCGGTCCAGGTTGGTTCACAGGAACACCATGTTTATATTGCTATCGTGGACATCCTAGACTCTATGCAATGAAAACAACCACTATCCCAAACTTACAATTATCTCCTTTCGTCAACCAACATACAGCCATTGATTTTTCCATCTCTATTCTGCCATGAGGTGTACCATAAGCCGTTGTCCAATCTTGAGCCCAACGTCCCATCCTTCTGCTTGCGATAACAAAATGCCACATGATTACGCTTTCCCGCGAGTTACTTGAACATGAACGCAAACAAAGTCCAAATAAAGGTGAAAATCATTGAATGGGAACAGATAGGTGAAGGTAACACAAGACTGGGTAAATGAGAGGGTAGTGGAACATTATGGGCAAGACTGTCCCCCATCGGACAGCAACAGGACAATGGAAGGATTAAGATTGTCCAGGAAAAGTACAGACGAAGGACAGAACATTATCAACATCACTTACATGACGCCGATGTGAGCCAGAGCACAGAAGCAATGCGCTTTTCAAGCAGAAAGAGGCATAGGGTCCTCAAATAAGTCGAGGGTCGAGACTCGAGGGAGATGTCTGCCATCTGGCTCCCCGCACCATCCGCCTGAACCCGCAATCAGGCTCGCCTGCTCCGGGGACGAGGGAACATACGCCCAGTCAGATCCGACGCTGCTCGAAATGCTTTGCTTGGACTTGGGAGGCTTTGTGGTCGGAGAGTCTTCGGAGACCACAGGTCTGGCAAGCTGACCAACGAAGCCAGCGCCCTCAATCCAGCTGGGTATGTTACCAACGTAGGGCTGGGCCGTTACCTCACTGTATTGCCCTAGGACCGATGCAGTGAGAGAAGGGCCTTTGGGAAGGGACTGGCTAGTTGTCAAAGGTGGAGCCGTAGCTACGGTTTCCTGGCAATCCATGACCTCGTGGGCAAAGAAGGTCTGGTCCGAGCTTGCGGTCTCTGTTGAGCATCCGTGAGATTTAGCGCGATAGGGCATCTCACGAGTGCCAGTGACGAGGTCACATTCTGCAATATCGGACGCCAAGTCGCCGCTATAACTGGAGGAGAATATGCTGGCAACTTGGGCTGATGATTCGTCGTCGTCGTCGTTGTATTCAGGTAATCTGTCCTTGGTGTGGCGGCTTGTATACAGTTTGATCGACGTCCAGCTATCGCTGGCAGCGGACTGGGAGCCCAACGAAGAGCGCATTGTGCTGATGTTGCGTCGAGAAGGTGTTGGCGAGGTGATGCTCAATGGGAGCAGTGGTTAGAACGGGGTGTTATTCCGTTCGGTAAACGGTGTTGTATGTGAGGGTGGTGTACAGTTGTATGACCATGAAGGAGGTATGGAGCTGGATGATGGGGTAGTGGTCCTGGATAGACGACGATGCGTGCAACGATGTGGGAGTGCTCAAGCGTTTGGAGGGTTTATAAGAACAGTGATCTGTCTTAGTTGGAAATCCGGGTCTACAACAGTCAGCAACGAAACTCTGCTGGGCAACTGGCGTCTTAGGTAGATTTGGGGGACTAACTGAACGAGAAATTAGAGTGTCCAGGTTGCTAGAGTATGAAGGGAACGGGAGAAGTTTAACCATGCCTTGTAAACAAGCGGGGCAGCCCAAGAGTATCGATGACAGGTAACAGGTACGGTTTCGAAGGTTTGGAGCGAAGATATCGTCGGCAACGAAGTGAGCCTGTCGCTAAAGTAAGAAAAAGATCAAGACGGAAAGAATATATGATGTCAAAAAGTAATGGTGGGGGATGGAGGGATGTATGGGGTCTTTATATATTTTTGATAAGGGGAGTAGAGAGGCGCATCCAATATATATAGATACGTCGAGGCAGGGGAGGCAGGGGTACCTTTCTGTGTGAGTAACCTTGTGCTTCTTGCTACGCACAGTTCCAGCACCCCGACCCGGGCAGCTTGCGTAAACAGGAACAAGACTCGAGATGAGCGTTCGGCGCGCTCGCAAACGTAGTCAGCGGGAAGCGAAGAAGGGGAAGAGAAAAAAAAAAAAGAAAAAGAAAAAAAAAAAAAAAACCCCCCGGGGGGTGGAGGTGGGTGATCGGGTAGGGAGATCGAGAAAGACGGGCAACATCTGCAGTGCATCAAACGTGTTATTTGCAATAGGAGGTGTTTGCCGGAAAGCGTGGTCGCCAGGGTCTTTGGAGCGAAACCATTTCCTGTGAGTTTCCCGGGGATGTCTAGGCAATGTCATCAGAAGAGTGCCCAAGTACCGATTTATGAGGTATGAAAACGCACTAGCCCTATTTCCTAAGCTGTTATTGCTGTTACCACATGATTACCACACCTACCGCCCTGTTAATTCAGCTGTTGAAGATAAACTGCGCTGCTATGGTGACTTAGCTCAGCTTGGCTTTGCAAGCTTGCATTTCCGTGGTTTTGTCAAATGTCCAGTTATCAGGTCCTTGACATGCCTCAACATGCGTTGGTCGATCGAATGTGACGCTTTGTAGATCGATAGGACTTTGCATGGTCCAGTCATAAATAGCGAATCGACCTTCAACGAGGAGACTGTCGAAGATTTGGGCGTCATTATCTGAAAGAATTGAGATTAGCTATTATATGCGTATGGGCCATTGTGAATGAACGCGTTGAACATTCGAACTTCGATTTTGAGCGGGTGAAAGTGTAATTGTCAAGCATAACGTTGCCCGGGGCGGAAATGGCGTTGCGGGGAGAGGTAGGTGATAGAAGTGTGTGTGGGACTGGGGGTTTAGGAGGGGGACGATCAAGAGGATGGCCTCCCAGTTAGCCCATTCATCATGATATCTTGTCTCCAATGGACTTGGTTCCAGTATCCTAAACAGTCAAGCTAATGTAATCATCGCGAAAAGAAAGAGAACACATTGGCCTCGGCTAACATTCGCTGAACTGAACCCAGACTTCGGATAGCTGAGATAAATATGAGTATAGCAGCCATTGACAACCAACTAATCACCCTTCCTTGTCAGGTAGGCTACTACACCACGGTATTGCGATCTTGGACCTGATGAACCGGGGACGATCTTCGGGCACAGATACAATGTCGCAACGACAACAGTTGCTTTTGGCAAACCCAACCCCCCTTCCCCCGCGGGCGCCCCAGACAGTCTCGACAGTTATGAAGCGTCAACTGAAAGCAGGCCGGAAGTGATAAGCCAAGAACTTTTTCACGCCATCCTGGATCTCCTGCAGAGACCTTAGCTGCCAGGACTTACCAGGGACCCTCGCGCAGCATGCCATCACTTGTGGTAATGGTGGTGGTGTATGTCGGCTGTGTTGACAACAAAGCTTTTGTGATTTGACACAGTCCGTCATAACCCAACACCCTTGCCATCAAATTCCCCGAAAAGTAAGGGTACCAGCAGGCTTGAGGGAGGCTAGCACTACAGAATGTTCAACCGGCAGGAGAAATCCAGAAGGTGTACCTAGCTGGTGTTTCACTCTCAGGCACACGCAATATTCAAATCCGCATGAGAATCAATGAAATTTTCACAGGAGGCTGCCATGAATCGTTCGCTCCTGATCCTGATGTTTATCAGGCTGAATTGGGGACAGCCGGTTGGCTCGATGTTGTCGGGATGTGTCGATATCTCGAGGAGCTTGAAAACCACAAAGCCAATACATATATACATATAAAATAAATAAAAGACACTTGCGCACTGCAAGCTACCGCTGACTCTTCCCACTTTAGCAGCTCGTATTATTTGCAGCCTGGCGAAAGAGGTTCTCACGACCAAATTTGAACCCTTTCATAGTTGGTTCATACCTCTATGTTTTTGGAGATCAGGTCAAGGACAGAAAGGTTCAGATATTGAAATGTCGGCATCATCCGAACGTCGTTGGTGCTTAAACCCGGAGGGTGCCAACTCCAGCTGCTAACTCCACCAAACAACTCCACAAGTTTGAGCTCAGGGTGCATCGCTCTGCAGGCTACTGAATGGTGTTGTACCCCCCTGCTAGACGCCGCGCCCTTGCTGTAGCGTACATCAAACAGCATCTGGCGCCCGCAATGGGGTCGTTCACTTCCAGGCGCCGGCCCGGCAGGTTCCTTATACGTACAAGAAATAAAAGCTTGCAGGTTGTTCAAGGTCTGGAGAATACCGGCAACTTCATCGCGAGAAGACTGACTAAATCAGCCTTGGCCACGGTTGTTCAAACTCTTCCATATCGATTTTTGCTGAAAAACTTGCCGATCCTGGAGGCGGCAGCTGAAAAGTGGATGCATCCAGGTACGGTTCCTTTGGTACAAGGATATCCTTGCGGAGGATCTACCACGGTTTGTCATGAGTTTACTGCGTACTTTACTAAACACGACGGAACGTAGGAAGTGGAAAACACAAATGATATGAATATAGGTACTTTTGTGTGATATCTCTCGGCTAACTGGGTGGGGGGGTCTCCAGTACACAGCGACTTTGTCATCGTATCGACTGAGATTCAAAGAAGTGAGGTGGAACCTTTTCCAAGTTCTCAACGTTAACAACAAACACCGTTCATTCCCCAGTCCAACCACGGCAGGCTCGTCGATCTCGGTCAAGCTCGCTTTGGCTCCTGCCATTGCTGGCTGGATAAACCTGAACATTAAGGCGAGTTGGGCAAGTAGAAATGAACTTACCGAACCAGTACCCCAGGTATTCAACATCATCATCATCTTGCGCTAGTCCCGCGAGGCTCCGCACCCAATCAACCCCGTCTTCCATTTCCACTCAGCACATAACAGAGAAGAGAAGGCTCAAACTTCAACCATGCATATGCAGGCACGGTGATTCCGTGATCACATGAGTGAAGAAATTTCATTACTTCATTCGATTCAAGTTACGTGTATTCGTCTTTCTCTTCGTCTTGATATGACATCCCCGCGCTGCCTTGTCCAGTCGAGGAGGTAGTGTATGCCCTGCACCAACTTTTCAGTTTGGTGACGAGTGAACGAACTCGCCATCTCTTGCCAGCTGATGGGGAAAGTGTCTTTCCGTTTCGGCAATGGACTTGGCCTAAGTAGCAGGTTGCCATCTGGCTCGGGAGCTGGGAAAGGAACCAAGAACTAACCTGAACGAATATGCCGAGGTGGTGTTAAGTTACCTTTCTCACGAAGATAGTCCTTTGTATATACAGGGCGGGTCATACCCGTTCGACAATCAGAAACCAGTCTTTGTAATTCATCACAATCACTGCATCTATCAACGGATACTTGCGTTGACAAAGTCGATCCCCGCTGTCTCCGCTGTCTTCTCTTTTCGTACTGGCTCCCGTGCCTGGGATCAAGTCAAGTGAATCCTGATCCTTGTCAAATTCATCCGATAGAAACAGAACGACATTAATAGTTAAGACGAGCCTTCTGATGCTTTGAACGGGCATGGCCGATCATTTCTGTATAAGGATTTCCCCCCCCCTTCCTTCGGTTTGGTGCAGGTACATCGACAGCTCAATGGAGAATCATGAACCCCGCTCCTCCCCCTTGACAATGCAACAACAGCCTGGCTTCCCTTTCTGAGTCTCGTCAAGCCTTTCAAATACTCACTCATCCATTCCTCATCAGACGAGCACCTTGCTTCGGATTCGTCCATTGAAAGAAAGGGCAGGTATCACTCAGAAAGTCACACACTACACTATGTATTCAGCAGAGGAGTTAGTGCCCATCCAAAATGCCAGCCTGCCACATGCAGCTATCCCATCACCCAACACGATGGTGGTGCGCGCCCTCCAGCGCTTCAACCTCTTTGCAAGCTTCCACCCACTGATAGCAAGGTGAATAAATGGCCAGGAGGTACAAGCACTCAACAAGGCTTTCTTACTCGAGAGCTCGCCGGTCATGTCGCCAAGTCCGCCAAGACCCTTTTCAGGTGTCGCGTTTTGAAACAGCATATCTGTGAAAGTAGCGAAAAGGCCGAGCTTTGTTTGTTGGAAATAACGGCTTGGACTGCGTGCCGGTCAATTTGAGGAAGAGCGGCGGGACCGACGGTGCTAAAGGTTGGCCGAGGCTAATGTACTACACGCTTACCGTGTTTTTTTTTTTTTTTTTTTTTTTTTTTTTTTTTTTTTTGGAACAGTTGCTAGCTGCTGGGCACATGGCACTATAGTGGAGGCTATGCCATACTGATATACATCGGACACGGAATTTCCTGGCATTTACTGGGTCTTTTCATTCATTGAGTCTGGTATTGACAGGGCACATTACTATATGTAGTAAACTTGGAGTATCAGACCCGGAACGGCCACACACACACAAGTCCTGACAGCTTTCAAGTTGTCTTCCCACCAACACTAAAAGAAAACAGCAACACATATGGCACTTCACTACTAATTAACACCAGTAGTCTTTGCTCTGCCCATACCCGACCTCCTCTCCCTCTCCCTCTCCCACCGCTCCCGATCGCTTCCATTCGGCGACGGTGCCGACTGCGCCGACATCATCGGGCCCCTGCTGCTAGCCTTGCGCCTCAGCCCGCCAGCCTTGAGCCTACGCGCCTGCTGATACGCGCGATCAAGTTCCGTCTCCACGGCGCAGCGGATTTTGAGTGCCGCCACGGCCGGCCACACGCTGCGCTCGCCACGAAGGATCCAGTACTTGAGCGTTTCTTTCGTGGGCGTTTCGAGCAGCCGGATAAAATCGCCGGCCGTCACCTCGGGTACGAGTGTCACGCTCGCTCCTGGGACGCGCTCATCCACGAGGAAACGGCGGATGCCGGCAGGGAGCAGGCGGAGGGCGTCGAGCTGGCTGAGCCGGTGGCGGATTTCGAGGCCCATCATGCGGACAAGGAAGGCGGTTGCCGACATAGTCTTGTTGCGGGTTTCGAAGAGGGAAGGGCCGTGCATGTCGCTTTGCAGGAAGGGGATCAGATAGGGCCGCGCTTGGCTGACGATGAAATGGTTGACATTGAAGAGTTCGGCGATGCGCTGGAGGGGCGATTCGCGCTCCGAGTATGAGGCGTGTGTCCAGTGGCGGAAGTCAACTGTGTTGGCGGGCTTCCAGGGGACGATGTTGCCCTGGGAGTCCTTGCAGAGAATTTTGGTTTCTCGGTCACCGTAAAGCGAGGAGGATGAGGCGTTGGATGCTAGCGCCGCTGTCCAGATTAGCTGTAAGAAGTTGTGTCAGTAACTGAACCGCCGATAATTTCTTCCTTGAAAGGCAATGCCGACATACCACATTGGGAGCTGTGAGATAGTTCAGGAGGGTTGGAACACCCCCTTGTCCAGCCGTGGCGACCGTGATGTTCAGTACTCTCTTGCTACGGTTATACGCTTCCTCAAACGTGAGGTCGCCCAAGTTGGACCTAATGCAGTGCTCCAACACCTTGACATCCAGGAAGTAGCCTTCTTTCCAGAACCTAGTCAGTCTACGTACTAAAGTCGACCAGGGATTAGTCCACCATGAATTCCTCTTATCCTTCCCTTCACCGTTGGTGGGAGTGCCAAGCTTGCTCGAAAAGGCAGAGAGGTCAATAGCTTCACCACTCAAGACATGCAGCAGTTCCTCCTCCGTATGAACAGCTACAAGGGCAGCAATCAAAGCTCCAGTTGCCGTCCCGGTAATAATTCGCGGGAGCAAGCCACGCAGGAACAGTGCCTTGGCGACACCGAGATGACAGAGACCAAAGATAGCGCCGCCTTGAAAAACAAGGGTGCTCCGTCCGAATGCTTGTCTGGTATCGTGGATAAAATCGAGCTTCATTTGTGTCGACATGTAACCCATAGGGTTGCCGCCACTTCCACCACCTGCCGTACTGTTTCCGCTGTCTTTGCCGTCATCAGAACTCGCCAGTCCGGGACTCACAGGCCTTGCTCCTCTGAAACCGGGTGTGAGACTGTTGTTGGGATAGTTCGTTCCGGTCCTCCTAACTGTCGGTAACATGCCAATCTCCTCGATCACTTCTGCGACCGCAGTGATATATTCCTCGATCAGAATCTTGGTTCCCGCAAAGCTCTTGTTGTATAGCTTAGGTGCCGTGATATTACCAAGGTTTCGAACGAGACCGCTGCGCAAAAGGTTGACAAGCGCATTGACATCGCCGTTATCGCGCGCAACCTCAATGCTCTCCAACCGCTCGTTGATCAATTTGTAATCATAATGCCGGCTGATTGGGCTATTACGCCACAAATCGAGGCCGAGGAGTGTGTCGAGCCGGATGGCAGCTTCCTCCCACTCGTCGAACTCGGAAGCATTGCGGAGGACGTCGAGCCAGACCTCGACCGGGTTGCGGCGCCGGTACCACTCACGGAATTTCTAGGCGGACGGGATTAGCCTGGGTCATGTCTACATGCGTTGACATCATCAGCCCTTTGGGTAACAAGTCTTGGGACATAATGTCGAGTCAAGACAAGGGAACTGAGGTAGAAGGTCTGTAGGACGTAACGAGATCCAAAGCACTCACACCTGCCCAGAAGAGTACAATGTCTAGAAATATCCTCCAGAATGATATGAATATTGTGGGTATTAGTGACCCCATTGTCAAGAGATGAATAATAAAAAATGAAAGAAAAAAGAAGAACAAAGAAAAAAAAAACACTGCCGTAGTGTTCAGGACAAGTAGTGAAGAGTGACGTGTGGCATGAACGGCTGTGTCAATAACATATCCTGATCTCGCTCATTTATACTTGTCGGTGGCAGATGAAGCGATAGGAGACAACGATAACATGCGCAACTTGAGTCAGTTGCGGCGAAAGAGGTTGAACGAGCGTGAAAGAAGAATGATGTGGCGGCAGCGGGTATGCCTACGTAGGTAGGTACGGTTAGGTACGTCGTTGTTGTTCGGTAGATAAAAATGAGCGAGTGTCGTGTCTCGGTGTGTGTGTGTGTGTGTGTCTTAGAGGTCAATCAGCTGACAACGGGACGTTGGATGTTTTCCTCGCCTGTCGCCTGCGGTCAAAAATTGAATGGCACGAAACGAAGTAAACGAAAGGCTCGGATGAAGATGTCCGGGATGTGTTGCGGGAAAAAAAAAAAAGGAAAAAAAAGCTTAAAACCAGACTGGGTCAGGTCCGTGTCATTCCATGTTTTGGGTCGGGTTTGGTGTTCTTCACAGGCGCGTCGAACGGTGGGAGAAGATGCAAACGGAAGTCTGGCCGGAAGTTAAGGGGGTGGGTGTGTGGACTGGGTGGACACTGGACTGTGTGCCCGACGTCAACTGCTGGATCCTCCTCAGGCAGGGCCTCCCCACTCAGGTCAGTTAATGCAGGCTTTCCGTGGCATGTGAAAGCGAAAGGTATCAAATTTTCGAGCAAGCCCTACCGTCGCATCGCTGAGATCCCATTCGCTCCCCCACATTTGGGCCTAACAGGGCCCGACGGCCCTTGCTGCCGTTGGGAATATTGTTCATGACGGGGGTTACGGAGTATGGGAAATGAGATCCATGGATAATAAAATATTGAGGAAGATGAGATGTCCAGCTGTTGCTGTTCACGGAAATTATTGGCACGATGAGGAGCGGAATAATCGAGAAAAGCACAACTAGGCTTGATTTGCGATGGGGGTGTTGAGATTTACCGTACACTAGGCACCTCACTGACCCTTGGCGCTATAGTGCGGAATGGCCTCGGCAGTGACACGTGTGACGGGGGTGACGGATATCGTCATCGCATGACATCCACGGATTTAGACTAAACCTCGAACGACAAGGGGGCCATCAGAGTCTTGCCTTCGACATTACTTCTCCACGAGACATGTGAAAGTGAGCCAAAGACTAAGCGTTGTATGACGAGGTGTTACCACCCTTGATGTTCACAGAAAAGTTGTAAGCCACTTCCGCAAGATTTCAACAGGCCCAATATAACTCCCATTCATCATCTTGATGCTACTACCATATGGGATCACCAAAAGTTGTGGTCTGGCCCGTTGAACCTGTTCTCTTTAACAATGCAGCACAGAGAAAAGGTTAAAGCAAGAACAG